ATGCTGCCATGATTCCATAACATGTATACAGTATATATACTGTGCGCACGTTGTTAGAGGGGGTCAGTGCAAATTCCTCGCCTCCGCCTCCTCATGAAGCTCCTTCATCATCCTCTGTGGATCTTTCTGCATGGTATCCTCCAACAAGCTTGAGTAACATCCATATAATATGTTCTGTGGCTTCGGTGACTATCTGTCCTCACTCCAGCAGGAGCACTTCTGGAGCATCTTGTTGTGCCAGGATGCCTCCTTCTTTGCATCCCTTTTTCTCGCCTCCTGCAATTCTTCCATTACCTTGGCAGTCTGCCGGTCCGTAAAAGAACAACTGGGGTGCGGGATGTTTCTGTGTTCAATGGCACCGGTGGACCAGTATCCATGCATCAAAGCCAAGAATACAACAAACTTGCTGAAGGCCTCTGCAGCAAACCACAAATCAACTGGCTACTGCTTTCCCTGGGAGTGGCTGCTGCCAAGGCACGGGCATAAACCATTCAGCTTGCATTGGCAGTGGCACAACGTCTCGCATCACTTGCAAGCGCCACTGCTCACTTTCCTTGGTAGTGCACCCTTTGTGGGCCACTTTGTGGTTATCTAGAACCAGGATTTCTGTCAGCGTAAACTGATGATTCGACAGGATGACTCTTCGTCCAAAGGCTCTTCCAGCTCTTGCAATCTTTTGTGGGACACAACTTCCAGCAGCTCCTTGCGGTAATATCTGGTCGAGAGTGCGACATACCTTAGCAGGCGTAAAGGATTTCGCCTCCAGTGCATGTCAACAAGCGAGATCTCCAAGAATTTGTTCATTTGACGAGATTCTCTCGGTCGGCTTTCTTGATTCCCTCTTTCGTGTGCAAGTTCACCATTCGCTCTGCCCCTGGTGGCATGAGAAGCGCCTCATGTTGGTTCAACTGGCATTTGAGAAGCGCATCTGACTTAGACTAGTTGGCCTCTGCCCAGCTTAGGCCCTTAGGCTGCAGCATGCAATCTTTTGCTCTCTTCGCCAAGAGCATTTGAGAGCATGATGCAGGCCGTGATTTGCTCCCCTGTCAAGGTCCTAACATGCAGCTTCAGCAGAATGAGACATATATACATACCCAAAACATTGCATATGAGAACAGTGTGCTTTGGCATCGCCAAGCTTCACTTCATCAGGAGGTTTGGGACGACCATCACGGCCTTCAGGAAGGCCAAAATCAATCTCCGCTTGCATCTTTCCGGGCCCGGCAAGGAGAACCAGCTGCAGCCGATGCAAAGAGATCATGTTGGAGGAGACTTTGTAGCCACCCTTGACGTAGAAGTTGTTGAAACCAATCGCCTGCACTGTCAGCCAAGGTCAAGCAACTCAAGTTCAAACGAAACTCTGCATATAAGCCCGTGCAAATCCCTGCAATGTTGTGTGTATGGTCTCTGCAATGCATAGTGTGGTCTCTGGTCAATTTGCTATGCACCAATGCAGGTGCAGTGCTTTTTGCAAGCAAGTGCCTTTTATGCAATGTTGTGCATGTCACGTAGAACCGCAAGTGCTAAAGCAACTTGTTGTCTGTGTTTGTTTGTCTGCTCATGTTTGCTCGGCATTCTTTGTAGTGGAGTGTGCCTTGTAGAGACTGCAACACAGTGCGTACACCGCGGCCTTTGTCAGTATGTGCCCCTATTTGTCCCTTGATGTTGTCCGCAATGCAATGGCACCGCAACCCCATGACTCAGGACAAACTTTCGATGACGTGCTATCTATACTATACTCTATGCTGCGTACCTTCCACCCATTGAAACACGCTCTGGAAAACTATGTGACATTGCGACTGCAACTGCTAGCCCGATTTTCCCAGGCAATGCTCAAGGAAGACATGTCCTCACAACCATGGAAATCGAGTAAGGAGAATCAAGTTTGAGCTGAAAGTCCAAGAGCACCCAGTTTTGATGATGAATGGACATAAGGGAAGCACGACCTTAACTTAACCTCTTCAGACTTAACCACCCCATTGAAGTACTTCAACCCTGTCTTTCCTTGAGCAAGCGATCTCAATGGCTGAAGTGGATGCTGGCGGGTACGGAAAAAGTGCGATATGGAGGGCCCATTGTTTTAAAAGGTGCGCATTGTTGTCTCTGTTTCGTCACAAGAGCATTGCGCACTTTGCCAAAATCGATCTCCCTCCTGGCTGCTGGAACTGTGGGTCAAGAGTCTGAAACATGGAAGGGCAAGTAGGATTGAAATTGACACCTGATTAGTTTTATATCTTATATAAATGCTATAATTAAACGTGATTAAGGCTTAATTATTCTGCTTCGGTGGCATTCTAAACAAGTCTCCGAGGAAGATGTTGAATCTCCTCTGGCAAACTTTGAGGGCTCCCTCGAGTTCCCCCGAGGAGACAGACTCCAAGCAGGTGACTGGGCCAAGCAAAAAGAAACATTCATGAGAGACGCTAGAAGCATTCGGGAGGGAATCCGCGAAGAGGGAAAACTATGGGTTTGGAGAAAAACTGCGAATACACACCCACATGACGTTCCAGAAAACAAGCTCCCTCACGGTGACCTTGAGACAATCGCCAGAAGCAGCACTCCGTTTACACCTATCTCTCTGTTTTTTTTTGGCAGCTTGCAAGCAGGCCTTGGTGAAGCGTGCTCCATCCTGCGGCGTAAAAGGAGCACAGTATAATGTAGTATAATTGAAAAGTTCCAGTTTCCTGTTGGAGAATGTGTGCTGTTGAGAAAAATGAATGTTCAAGCGGCACGGCAGTCCACGTCAAAGTTGGAAGTACTTCTGGAAACCTGCCGCAAGCTCTGCTTCAGCAAAAAATGAACGGTCACGCAATCAGCACCTCAACATCCGTCTGTGTTGTCGTCGCTTTCAGAACCTCCTGATGCCCAGTCATTTTGTGCACAGGTTGGAAAATGAAGGCCATCTGCTATCTCGCTCTACTGTCAGGGGCAAACTAACATTGGTGCTTTCTACAATCACATCAGCAAGAGGACGCTACTACGAACAAAGGGCATCGCTACTAGGAGCAAGAAGCTACTAGTAGCAGCTCCCTACATTACTGTACTTGGTGGTTTTGTTTCATTCTGAGAACACGCCAAGCAATAACTGTGTCGACTCCTCCTCCGTCGGAGCTTGAGCAAAAAGCTCTCCCAGGTCCACAGCTACATGGGCGCCACTCTCGGGGTCCGACACACGGCACGAAAGTTCGCCTTGGACAGTCTGGGATAAACCCGACAGTTCTGCCACAGTTGCCACAACTTGCCAACACGCATAAAGAAAGGGAGACCTACAAAAAAGGCTCCTGTTCGTACCTGTTCCACTTACTTTTATGTAAAGTAAATCGAGGTGGTGCAATAATGTTGAATGCTCAGATCTTTTGCCATACCTGCTGGCTTGTGACCTGCAGCATTGCTTCTCGGCACTGCTTCATGCCGAGCCACTCATCTCAATCTTCACATTGGATATGAAATGCCGTGCAACTTTGGCAACCATCCCGGCATCTATATCTTTACCTTCGACAACTCAATACAAAACAAAAAAGGGTTGGGCAGCAAGGCAGCAATGAAGTCCTTTTCTGGCCTTCTTGCTTTGCAGCTTCTACGACTTTCTGGTGCTTTCTAACCTCTATCTGTTGGGCAGCCTGCAAACAGATTGCACAGTGAGAGACCGTCGGTCATTGCGCCAGCAAGATCACATCCCACTACTGCAATTGGTCCAAAAATCTAAGAGCCAAATGAATAGTGCGAGCGTGATTTATCCTGCGTCCTAGCTAGTAGCTACCTGTTGCTTCTCGTTAGCTACCACATCTTAGCGGCCGACCTCCCCCAAAAAAGGATGTTCTAGGAAAACTGTCTTGTTAAATCGCGTTGCCCATTCTATGTCCAAACACCGCCTTGTGTTCAACTGCGTCCAAGCGCGTCTGCCGCAGCTCCGCCAAGCGCTCCTTTGCTGACTTGCTGGTGGATTTCTGGACTATGGCGTGCACCTGGTCAGAAGCAAGCTCCAATAAAATTAAGAGCAACTAAAATATACAATATATACATAAAGGTCAACAAATTGGGAACTGCACTGTTCTCGTATGACAACACCTCAAGACTTTTGCACCTCAAGGTTCTGCACTTTGATGCTGATGTCCCCGGAGAATCTTAGTTACTCCGCATTTGGCATGCTTGGTTCAATCTTGAATCTTGCTCCTGCTTTCATTTTGGTATTGTCAGCTAGCACTTGGTGCTGAACGATAGACATGATTCCACATAGCGCCAAGACACAGAGCAAGGAAAGGAACTTCGATGTCCAACACCTTCAGCTCCCCAACCTGTTTCGAGACTTCGGCCGAAACCTGTGAACTGTTTGGTTCATCTACAGTGTCTACAGCCTGTAGTTCAAGCTCACTGAAGCCCAGAAGAGCACACAGGTGGCTCTTGAGCTTCAAGTTCTTGGCGCTCATCTTTCCAAGGCGGAACCGCAGATTGGTCTCAGCAAAGGCAAAGGAGAAAAGAATAGAAAAGGAGAAAATGCGCAAAGCATCCAGTCTTGCAGCCTGGCATGTCTCACAGTGTCACCATCCAGTGTTGCACGGTCTGACAACATCCAACGTTTTGCAACTGCCAAGGTTCTGAGGACATGTTCTCCAAATATGGCGCCAAGTATTTCTCCAGCAAACTGTTGATGATTCCCTCGAACATGGCTCTGGTGCAAATCTGAAAGCTTTGCTGTGGCTGCGAAGCACGGCGAAGGGGGCAATAGCAGCATGCAAAAGCCACCCAACAAGAGCAGGTGTGCTTTGAAGTGTTGCTAGTTTCAATAACTGCACATCTAATTGTCTTCCAGTGAGCTTTAATCTAGAATCTACGGTATATGTAGCTTTTGCACAAGGTTATGATAGGCGAATTCAAGATCCGATGTGCAGCTGTCCTACGGCAAATCCAGGCCTGAAGGGCCTTGGGCAAAATGATCATGAGGTCGGACTGATTGGCTGTCCAAGACTCTTGCATCTTCTGCCACAAGACTCACTGCCAAGTTTTCTTACGCGCGCCAAGAAAACTCGTTTGCACTCGATCTTGACCTTGGGCCATAAGATTTGGTACGAGATCAACTGACCTCCACAACATAGCTCCCTCTTGTGTGCAGGGAACCACCAACCGCCCTTTGGCGCTGAGGGTGAGAAAAAAGAAGACAGGGGATGGTTTCCATGCCCTGTGAGAGCATTATATAATCCTAAGAGCGCTTCTCAAATCATCTTCTGCCTCAGTCACACGCATCGTCCACTGAGTACATTCTGTGTCTTCACCAGCCATGTCAATGTAGTATGCGTTCCTGCCTGAACAGCTATCAAGTTCAAGTTCCTTGACCTTAAGCAACACAAAGGTTGATTGCATAGATTGATGTGTTCACCCATGCTAAAAGAAACAAAGTAAAGCATGCCAGCCAGCTGTGCTCCACACTGAGTGCTTCGTAGCTTCGCACTGACCGTAGCCTCACACTCCGCACAACTACTCTGCATTTCCTCTGCATTCATGGCTCTTTGATTATCTTTGGGGCTGTGCACAGCTGAGCCCTTTGGATTCGATCATCCAAAGGTCCAAGAAGTGCTCTAAGACTCTAAGAGCATGGCTCTGAGATAGCACTTGCTAAAGGAGAGAGGCCTCGATCCGCACCACAGCACGCAGCACTGCTGAACTTCTGCACGAGAAGAAACCAAGAATGAAGTTCTGTTGCAGTTTGCAGATATGCATAAAGAAATGTATGCAATTTAATGTATACACAATACAAATACATAAATGTAAACATATACAGTATATATGTGCATACATATGTGTGCGATATATGATCTGGCAGCTTGGACAAGCGAAGCTTGTGGCTTGTGACTTCAATTTGTGCTAAGCACCGTTTCAAGTCCTCTCGCTTTGGAGAGTTGCATTGGCCCGAGCTGGACATCCTCTTTGGACAATGTGGATGGCACCAGCCACCAGCTAGCTTGTAAAAAGGTCAGCATCTGTGCGGCTTGCAAGCTGTCCCGAGTCCAGAGCAAGGAAAACTATCTGCAAGTGCAGTCTTCAGCAGCATGTAAGAAATTTGCTATGCTACTTCCCTGAATGTGCTGTACAGGGGAAGCGGAAAGCCCAGACTCTTGTGTAAGAGGAAGCTGCCGATTCAATCAACACCTTCGTGTTTTCAAACAGTTTGCCGGTTCAGCAAAAGACCTTAATTGTCGAGCGAAACGACGATGTCACGATGTCTACAAAAAGCAACGCAATTCCTCAAAGCAGCCCATCGAAGTAACAGCTTCGTTGGTAAAGCCTTGGTGCACACACACACACCAGTGACAGCACCCAGCCACGGGTTGAACAAGTCTTGAAAGCTCAAGCAACATTGATACGATTCGCCTGCACTGGACCTGCAAAACACAACACATACTTTGCATACCCAAATGTTCCTCCACCAAGCCGAGAGCCATATGAAGTTTCATGAGTGTGGAATTTACCGCCTTTTCGCACTGTGGTTGCATCCTCGACATGGTGAACCATTTGCACTGCATCACTCAACAAGAACCCTTTCACTTGGTGTAGACTTTGCTTGCAGGGTCTAAGAGCTTCTTGTAACTCGCATTTCTTAATGTCTGACAATATCTATAGCCTGTTGAGGACAATATCACCTCAGAACTCCCAACAATACAGTGTCCAAAATGATTGCTTGTCATACAGCGCTAGCCAGTAAGTAGCGGAGGCAATACCACCATACACCAAGGTACATCATATCATCTGTCGGGGTGCCATGAGCTGCACCCCTCCTCTCACACACTGCCCGTCATCGTTTCAGCATGTGCAGCCATCACCCCGACATCAAGCACATAACTTTTGTATGTACGAAGTATGATGCTAAAATTCCCACCGATGTAATTGCATAGTCACCACCAGTCATCCATTCAAGAGGGGTGTAGTGCGAAAAGTCGAAACAATGGATTTGACATTCCAACCAGGACCTTGAATGAGGTGGCAACGACGTTTCTTAGTTGGGATGTGACAAGCATGCAAATCTGGCCAAGCAGCTGCAAACAAGAACGTCGTCACTGCTGGCGACTACGCCTCGATGGCAACACAAGCTGACCAAGACGTGACAGCCAATGGATATTCTGTTCCCAGTTCACACATCGCCCTCGACAAGACTCATTTCCTTTCAACAATTCTTTGTAAGATCTTGTAATTGTAATTAAGCGAGTTGCGCTCATCCTTCGTAAGATCTGGGCCAAAGAAGTTTCCTGCCTGACTTCGCGCAACTTCGGCAATGGCTAGTAGCTCCACTGACTGCAAATGGTTCAGTTTGTTCGCGGCCTTCAAAGTTCGCACAGTGCGGCCACTCCGAACCACGTTGCAAACGCCTTGCCCCAAGACACGGAGCCGCTGGCAGCCGAGAGCGACCAAATCTCCCATAGCATAGGACCTCCATTCTGGAAGGGTTGCTCCAAAAAAGACATACTGATCCTCTTCAAATACCGATTCAAAAGTTGAATGGTGTTTTGGAGACGGATGTTGACTACAAAGTCTTAACTTCCGCCCAAGCGTTCATCTCCTTGCCGACAAGGTTCTCGAAACCAGCCGTCCCCAGCAGCCGATCCACGTCCAACGGTTGTTGATGATTGGAAAGCTTGGCCACAGACTCTTGGCCTTAAAATGGGTTCCAGCATGGTGGTCTTGAGTCTGACTTAAGCTCGTATCACCGTGTCTGATGAGATGGATTGATGACAACAAGGCAGACCAAACCCTTCTGGGACCTTGTCACCTGCATCCTACTGTAGGATGTCCTAAGGGTCTGAAGGCCGGGCCCACAGTTTCTAGGACTTGCCGAACTTTTTGACGGCCACTCTCCTGCTGGGCTTCCACCTGCAAACCCACACTCATGTTCCCCCATGATCAAATATGTATCTTGCTGGTCATGCTTCGGGTCTATGTCTGCCCAAAATCCATCTGGGAAAAACCTGCGTGCCTCCGCAAAGCTTGCACCATAGCGCTCCGCTGCCGCCTGCAATGCACCTTGAAGATCTTGCCCTACCTTCTGCATGAGCTCTTGGAACACCTGTGAAGCTCTAAGAACATTCAGCCGCGAGCACAATTTGCACGTCAAAGACCTTACAGTAAAATCTTGACCCGCCGCTTGCTGGGGTCCCATGAATTGACCAAGCCTGGCCTGACCCTCCATCACAAGCAACCGGACATCGCCTCGGCAAAGTCACTTGACCCTGTCGGACACGTTCGACCTCTGCCAAAAAGATCTGCCCAGTGGCTAGCTGCCTTCACGCTCACTGGACTGGGCGCCTGAAGGATGAGCGAAGCCTCTCCAAAGCAATCCCCAGCGTGCAACTGCGCCACAACTTCGCCTCCTCCTTAACAATCCAAGCAGACCGCCAAACTGCTCCCGATGCTGCAATCCAGAAAACAAGTTGTGCTAGTGGACACATAGCTTCACACAAAAGATGAGAGAAACTGTTTTGGCACCCTTCAAATCAGCTACATTAGCCTTCAACATCGCAGAACGAAGTCCACTTGCACTTTTGAAGAAACGAAGTCTAGAGCCGTCGGCCCATCATGCTGGATTCAAGGCTCTCATGACGTCGCAGATTCCAGTGAGTATGGCATAGAAATTCTGTTGATCTGATAATGCTGACTGGCGCAGGAGCCTTGGAAGCAGAATAGGCAGCATCCCCTGATTTACCCTCTCACTCATATAGATGGTGCATGGTGCTGCACACATAGATCGGCTAAGAGGCACATCGTCTTGCAGCCTTTCTTGCACAACGAAGTTTTGCGCCAACAAAGCACATACATCCTCACATCATCTGCTCACTCCACCACACAAGTGCACAAGTGTGTGCTGAGTGTGGGCGTGTTGGCAGGGTATGGTGCCACGCTCAGACAAACACAGGTGCCTTCATGTTTCTATTAGGTTGGAGGCCCACACTCTTAGGTTGGACTAATGAGTTTTTTTGATGTTTCTTCAGTGTTTGCCAACCGCCCTTTGAAGCCTTGCAAGGCCTCCGACGTGCACTGCATTGCTCTGAGCTCCGTCCTCCTCTGCTTTGCTGAAGGCACGTATGCTTCGAACACTGGAGATTCGAGTCGCACCCGCGGCAACTCTGGCCTTGGCAGCTGTGGCCCACAGCGCTCCAAAGCACCCTTGCGCATTTCTGAGGTGATTGTCTGCCTAGGCGCCTGGCAGACCGTAGCAAAGCCAGCCATGTTTGATTCCGACACACGAGTTGGGAGTAAGACCTCAGATTGACTGGCACATTCTTTTGGGTGCTTCTGCGGAAACGACCTGCCACATGGGTGAGTGGCTCGTCGGCAGACATCAAAGCCGTTTGCATTGGCGGCTGCAACCTTGTGCACGCGGGAGTTGCTTCCCAGAAGATGTGGAACAAGTTTAGATCCAAATGCATCATGACCCATGACGAGCCTGGAGAAAAGATCCAGGACAGTCTTCCAAATGCTTAACACAAACTGCTCGATGAGGAAAACCAGAACTCCAGGAGAAAACTTCATCGTAGGCTTCATTTGCAAATGTCCCACGAATTGCTTGACTTCCTAGTGGGAGCACGCGAATTGTGCATCTGCAACCCCAGCACAAGAAAAGAAAGCCCGAAACTTGGCAGCTTAGCTTTAGCTGGTGGAGAAATGCCGGAAACTATATATATAATCCAAAATACATCAAAAAACTGCATGAACAGTTTAAGAGAAAAAGAAAAGCGAACTACTCGTGTTTGGCTTGATTCGTTGGACGAGCTTTCCCGGTTGCTTTGAATGCGCTCTTCCAGAAGGCGAGAGCCAATGTCTGCAAGTGGCCTCAGCGTGCCTGCAGCTCGGTGTGCTATCGACAAAAAACATGATTATGAATGATTATGAGGGTTCTTTAACATTGCATCGCATGTATATAATTATCTTGCCTTGCATGTACACCGCATCGCAGTGTTGCATATGTTGCATTTACATACTGTTGCAGCCACAGGGCGTTGTAATCGTATGGCACTGCCCTTGCCCTTGCACAACGTTGCATGTCATAGCAATGCGTTGCCGTTGCATGGGGTTACACTTGTGCGCATCTTTCTTTGTTCTTTCTTGAGCCGGGGGTGGTGCCGGCAGATGCTATCGGGAGTCAACGGTCACACATGAGCGTGGCGGCTTTCGGCTCCGAGCCTGTCTGGGCTCAGAAATTGTGAAGCGGTAAGTTGTCCGTGTTACATTGTTACATGGTCGGTGTGAATTGCTGGTGATGCAAATTTAGGCGTTTCAGCTGGTGTTCCCAACTGGGGCTTGGCACGCATTGTCGCCTGAGTGGCTAAGGTTCAGACATTCTGAAGGCACGGCATTAGAGGCTTCGCAGTGCAAGCAGTTGCCACTGGATCCGGCTTCGAGCAAACAGCACACAAAAGAAAAATACTGTTGGTGCAGTTTTGCCTCTAAATATCATGAATCATGATCGATGTCGTACCGTATCATATGTTACATTCATCTGTCACGGCATGCAGCATTACTCACAGTGCGTTCTCGCATTCAAACCATATCGTCATCCGTGTTCCATGCCAGTTACGTGTCACTGGATCTTGTCCGCGGACTCACGAGAGCAAGGCCGCCTCGTCCAAGCTGCTCAATGA